GGAAACTTCTCACATTAACTACGATCCTGAGGAGAACGAGGGAATCGATGCACGATCAGTTTGGGACAAGCTTAGGTAAAATATTTCTTGAGAAAGTTTGGGAAATTGTATGAAACGCCTGAACTATGCAAAAATGCTAAATTCAAAACATATAAGGTAAAATTTCAATGAGAAATTTAGGAAAATCTGTGTACTGAATGGAAATTGGACGTATTCACCACAATAATCCATCTAGAAGTAAAGAAGCTTAAGTATCGCCTTCGGATAACCGATGCATCATTAATATGCTGATGTAGTATGCTGTGATATCACTATAATCTGGTATGCTGGTCATGCCCTCGAAACAGAAAAGTTTAAACAGTTAAGAAAATAGTCTAGGTGCTCATAACGTAAGCGTATGATTTTAACACTTACCTTTTATAAGATCTAGGATATACTCTATATCATATTTCTCCGAATTGAATTAAGAATTATGGAATGCGATATATACGTTGATGCTAAAGATTAACTTAGAGGCGTATACAAGAGGGATTAGGATAATTGATTCTCTTAAAGATGTTAAAAGAAGAATTTTAACACTAAAATCAAATTTATTTGCTCCACTATGACACCGGTTGCTTTGAGGTATTTGCTATGGGCACATTGCACTAAACGGTCGCTTGTCTAAATGCGGTGATTTCCAAAAGCACGAGGCATCTATCGCTTGGTTTGTTGAATGAAGAATGCTGAGTGCGTTGGGCTAACAGGTCCGACCGTTCTGCTGTTTCCCACACCGAATACACTCAATTCCGATGGGTCCAGTTTCTGCCCGACAAGGCTCATCTTGCCTCTTCCGGCAGACAGTCGTGGGAGTCTGTGGTTTGCTGTTTTCCAGGCCTCGCCAATCGACGTTGACACTCTCTCAGTGATCACTCTTTCCTGATCTCCAACCAACACGGTTCCTGCTATCCCCACAGTCTGACTACTCAGGGCGAGCTTGCTTGCTTGCCGGATATTTAGTGCGCCCAAAGGTGACTGACTGGTCGAGCTTGATTGACTGTTGGCCAAGGGAGCCACATGTCCGGTCGCCTCATTTGGGCCACAGTTTGATTCGTCCTGATCTCCTGCGAACAAGTTAGACTGCCCTAACGTGATGTCACGGCTTTGCCGGATCCAATCACTCACACGCTTGCTGGAGGATCGAGGCTCATAAGACGGCACTTCTCCGCAGCTTGAGTCCTCAGGTAGGTAGGAGGCCTCGACGCCGAAGCGGCCGGCACTTGGGTACGGGCCTTGGCTAGAATCAAGGCCAGCTGTTTGTCCCTGTTTGTAACCTGACATCAAGCACCATTTATGGATAATACTACTAC